AACTAGGAAGCAACAGAACAATAATGCTTAGACAATATCAGAAAACTAAAGACACAGACACAGCCAGAGGCCAAGATGAGAGCCTGGAGCGCTTGATTTATGTTTTGTTTTGAGACGAGAGTTTGGCTCTGTCGCACCAGCAGCATGAGTGAGTGGCTTGGATCTCAGCTCACGCCAAGCTCCGCCTCCTGGATTCCGCCCATTCTCTGCCTCAGCTCTCCGGAAGCCTGGCACTACAGCGTGCGCCCACACCCCCACCCAGAAAAAAAAAAAAAGGCACAAAAATCGACTGACTACTTTTTTATAATATCAGATATTTTTTTAGTAGATACGGGTTTCACCGTGTTGAGCCAGCGGATCGGTCTCGATCTCCTGACCCTCGTGATCGCCTGCCTCGGCCTCCCAAGAGCATGGCGATTACAGGCTTGAGCCACCCGCCCAGCCTGTTTAGTTTTTTAAATAATCTCACTCTTCACCTAGTGCTGGGTGCAGTGGTGCAATCATGCTCCTCGCAGCCCTCACCTCCTCCCACTTTGGAGGCCTGGTGGGGAGCAGCCCAGGGAGGGGAGGCCACCAAGGGCTGTGGTCAGACTATCAACGTCTACCCATCCGGGACACTGGGGAACTGCTTAACCTCATGGTTTTCTCATGTATCGAATGACCACAAACAGTGGCACCTTCACTAGCTGTTGGGAATAAATGAGATAGCTCGTGAAGTACTAGAAGGGGAGGAGGCAGGGGGTGTGCACTACCCAGCCAGCAAGTGGAGTCACTACAAGAGTGGGCCAGGGCGCCTAACCCAGCAAACACTAGCTATTGGACCAGGAGCTTGCTGTGTGCCCCTCCTCACCCCACCCATTCTGTCTCTTTGCAGTTATGAATACTACGTCAATGACCCTCCCCGCATAGTCCTGGACAAGCTGGAACGCAGGGGCTTCCGTGTGCTGAGCATGACGGGGGTGGGTCAGACGCTGGTGTGGTGCCTGCACAAGGAGTGACCTTCTCACACTGATTTGCAGCCGGGGCGCCCCTGTGGAGGGGCTGCTGTGGGCCCTGAACTCCAAGCTCCTGCCTCACTGACCACACCTTGCCCCTCTCTTCCCAAATCGTCACTGCCATGGGCCCAGCCCCAACAGGCAGTGAATGGCCTTCTCTGAAACCTTGCCTCAAGCAGTGGGAGAGGGCAGTGCCCGGTGCTCCCAGCTGCCCTCCTGCTTCGGGCCTGGGCCAAGGGCCTTGGGCAGGCCATATTCCTTGGGCAGCTGCCCCGGGCCGGAGCGGGGCACCCCAGGGGCCCTGGTGCGTGGCTCCTGCATAGCTAGCCCAAGCCAATAAAGGGCAGTGATGAGTGGGTGCGCCTGTGCTCTGCTTGTGCACGGACTCTGGGACTCTCACCATGCAGAGTGTTTCCCTAGGGGTCTGCCCACTTCCTGGGAGGGGCACCAGGCCTGGGTGGAACCCTCTGCCGCAGAGCCCAGCACGCTATACCTATGCATGGAATAGAACTAAAGTCTTAAAAAAAAATTTATTGGTGACGTTGAAGAAAAGGGCTGAGGGATGGGTGGCTGGAGCCAGGGCTACGTGGGCGGCCCCTCCTGGTCCTCCTGCTGCATCCTTGCGATCAGCTGTTGCCGCTCAGCCGCCTGGCGCATGCGCATCATGACGAGACTCTCATAGTCCCTCTCTGACAGTACTGAGCCCTGTTGGACAGAGCAGGGATGGAGAAGGGTCAGGGACGGCAGGGCACAGCCCCACAGACTCCAGACTCTGAGGACGGTGCCAAGGCAGAGCTGTGGTCTAAGAGTCTCAGAGGGAGGAAAGCAGAGGAAGGGAAGGAACCTGGAGCATCCTTCTGGAATCCTGGCTTACCTGTGTCCCCCAGAACAAGTCACCTGTGGCCTCCAGGCCGGCTTCTACCCAGCCAGCTCCCCCTCCCTTTCCCTAGGCCCCGTCAGCTCTGGTCCATCTGTTTTCCAGGAATCACCTGTGGGCTCTCTAGCTAGGCCCTCGTCTCCTTCATTTCCTCTGGGCCCTTTATCCTTCACCCCTTTTCCTCTACCCCATGGCTTCTGCCTCTTAGGTTCCCAAGGAAGGGAAGTTGAGGTGCAGGGATGCACCTGGTTCTGCTGGGCACTGACCCCGGCTCTGTCCATGCCCTGTGGTCTGGCTCCTGCTGAGGATGCAGAAGGGAGCCCTACCCGAGACAGCCTGGAATGCCCCGCCCTCGAAGGGGAGAAGGGCAAGCATGAGGCCAGCGTGCCTCTAAAACTACACACCAGGGCTCCTGGAGGGCAGGGCCCATGGCTCAAAGCTTTTATGAACTTGCCAGCACAGTGCAGGAGATTAAGGAATGCTGTATTTACATAATCAAAAGAATAATAAACAACCGTCTGAATGGGCCAAGGCTGTAGGGTGGAGAAGCAGCTCTACAGTGGGGCCTAGGCTGCCAACCCACACCCTGATAAGGTCTGCGGTGGGAATTAAACCTTTTCCTCCCTCAGTGCCGCTTAGGCTGTGTGATGATCATGTGGTCCCAACAGCTTCTCAGAGAAGTGTGAAGCCCACCTGAGATGGCAAAGAAGTGAGCTAGGCCAGGGATTGCAGGATGCGGTGGCCTGCTCATAGCAGAGAGCTGTGGGGCCCTGATCCGCGGTACCCCACATGGGGATGCTCTCACGGAACAAGGCAGGAGGAAAATGTGATGGTCAGTGACCCGGGGAATAGGAAGGGAGCGGCTGGGATTGAGATGCCAGGCCCGGGCCAGCAGGTTTGGAGTAAGGGGTGTAGAGAAACAGGAAGTGTTGCTCAGCCTGGGTTCCCCTGCTTCTCCCGATAGCTGCACCTCTCCCCTTTCCCCTCTGCCCGGCTGCAGCAGTCCCAGCTAGGCCGGACTGTTCAGTGTGGCCCAGAGCACGGCTGACAATTCACAGCAGCCTCCCTGGCCCGGCTTCCCGCAAGAGAAGGAGGACCCTAGAGGAGGCCGGATAGCCAGAGGGGAAGGGCTGGAGCATGGCCAGGCAGCAGGCAGCATGGCCCGGCCTTCAACTGCCGCTCTCCTGGCAGGAGCCTACGAGGGTAAAACAAGGGAGGACAAGGAAATAGCAGCCAGGCTGATGGCAGGCCAAGAGAAGGCCACGTCTCCCGTCCCCAGGTTAATGCTGCTCTGCCAAGAAAACTTGGAGCCACCCTTGGCGGGCCCCCAGCCCAACCCTAGGCCGCAGAGCCCGCCCGTCACACGCATGGGGCTGTTCCCCGTTAACACACCCTCTGCCTCCTTCCCTGATCCCGCAGGTTCTGCTCATGAGGGCCTGACAGCAGGGCTGAGTCACCCACACCAGCCACAGGTCTCTTCCTTCCCCAACAATCGTTCCACACGCCTGCCTTTCAATTAACTCCCACCCGCCCTGAACTCCTCCTACCCAGACACTGTGGGCCGGGAGCCAGGCGCACCTGCCGGGGCCCAGGGTGGTGGGGCTGTGATGAGAAAGGAAGCCGCGTGGTGACACATAAAGCAGGGCTGCCCCCACATGAGTCCCCAGAGGAATTTTAAGCTCCCCATTGCCCTGGGGTGTTGGTCCCAGCTGCCCCATCCCTGCACGCGGATGCTGCAATTACCCAAGAGCATGAAACCTGGCTTCCCACCTGACTGAGTCAGCTGAGAACAAAAACACATCTCCACCGCCACAAACAGCCAAGCCACTAATCAGAGTCCGGGAGCCACTGGCAGAGAGGGCACGGCCCCACACTGCCCCAGAGACGCATAGGAGCCAGGCAAACACCAGGGCGAGTGAGCTCGGGCCATCTGCCGCCTGCCTGTGGAAGGAGTGCTCGCCAGCCTCACCTGGCCCGAGAAGGTCCATCTCTGCCTCCGCTGGGGCTGCCTCATTCTGACTCCAGTAAGTGCTGCTGCTTCCACCTGGGGTTTTTCCACTGCCCTCTTCAGTAACCCGGCCACTCCTGTCCCTGTGGGAAACTCCTGCTGCCAGGAACTCCCAGCTGTGTGCTCTCCTGGACAAAAAAGTTCCTTCTTCCTGAGCCCTCCACTCACCATCCAAGATGTGGTCAAAGGTCTGTGCTGAGCGGAAACCCCAAGGCCTCTGCTCCTAGGGCAGCCTCCCCAGCTGCTGGCACTCACTGCCCCAGCAGGGACCGCATGCAACCTGGCTGCTCCTGAACACCTGTCTGCGGGCTCCCCTGGGCCCCATGGAGACCTGGCGGAAAGGCTCCTTCCGCAACGCCTCCTTCTTCAAGCGGCTGAGCCTGGGGCGGCCACGGCGGCTCCGGCGACAGGGCAGTGTGCTTAGCCAGGCCAGCACAGCGGGTGGGGACCACGAGGAGTATAGCAACCGAGAAGTCATCCGGGAGCTACGAGGGAGGCCAGATGGCCGGCGCCTGCCACTGTGGGGGGACGAGCAGCCCCGGGCCACCCTGCTGGCCCCACCCAAGCCCCCACGCCTCTACCGAGAGAGCTCAAGCTGCCCCAACATCCTGGAGCCCCCACCTGCCTACACAGCAGCCTACTCTGCCGCCCTGCCATCGGCGCTCTCCCTGTCGAGCGCCCTCCACCAGCACTCAGAGAAGGGCCTTGTGGACACTCCCTGCTTCCAGAGGACACCTGCCCCAGACCTCAGTGATCCCTTCCTCTCCTTCAAAGTGGACCTGGGGATTTCACTTCTTGAGGAAGTTCTGCAGATGCTAAGGGAGCAGTTTCCCAGCGAGCCCAGCTTCTGAATGGGGTGAGGGTGGGCAAAGCCGGGGTGACTGGAAGAGCCAGAGGCTGGGGATTAAGGAGAGGGCAGGGACAGGACTCCAGGCCCATCGCTGGAGGGTTCAGGCAGGCAGAGCTCCTCCATCCTGGGGGAGGATTCCAGGATAGGAATCCAGGGCTCTGCCTGCTCTCTGGGTCCTGAAGCGTCCTCCCAGGCACCCCAGAGTGGAGGGACAGAGGCAAGCTGGAAATGTTGAGGAGGGGGGCCCCTTCCTGGCAGGACCCCTGAAGGAAGCTGGCTATTCTGGGAAAGGGAGGCTATGTGTGGCAACCACAGGAACCAGGTAGAGACTGGCAGAGCCAGAAGGTGGCACGGGGTCAGATCAGGGAGTGGGAGGACACAGACTGGGCAGAAGAGATGAGTGCCCTGTGCCAGCCTCTCTGGAAGCCAGCGTCAACAGAGAGAGGTCACAGGACAAGCCTGGGTAAAAGCAGTCCAACCCTGGCGGAAGAGGAAAGTGGGAAGGCCCAGGAAGAAAGGGGAGACAGGCCTGACCCTGTCTAATCTGGTGGCCACTCACTGCATGACGCCGAATTGAAATTAAATAACAATTCAGTTCCTCACTTGCACCATTATTCCAGATTCCACATTCCAAACGGCTGGTGGCCACACATGATTAATGGCTGCCACACTGGTTGGTGCAGAATGGACGCGAACATCGCTGCACAAAGTTCTACTGGACAGCGCTGGCTAGACCGTGGCCTGGAGCCACCAGCAAAGGGGAGACGCATACAGGGGCTGGCCACATAGGAAGAGATAGGTAGAGATAGTGTAACTTAGGAAAAGACTAGGCAAATCCTTAGCAGAAATGAGGATGTGGTTCAGTCTGCCAACACAGCTACCTGGAGCAATCCCTGGTGAAGGCAGCTCTAGAGAATGCCAGCCAAAGGCACGTGCACGGCTTACAAAGGGGTGCTTTGGGGAATTCCCAGAATTATTAGTGTGGGAGCCCTGGCAGATTTCCTTCCTTGAAGAGAGGAGAACTGGATCCAGGGATGGGCATTCAACGGCGAAGCAGCACAGCTGGTCTCCAGACCTGTCTCCCAGGATTAGAGAGTTCTGCCGCCTGAACCCTCTGACGATGTGCCTGCCAACCAGGCCAAGCCCACCGGGTCAAAGCCACAGCACAGGCTGCACTATGGCCCCACCCCATGGCCTCACCAGAACACAGAAACCAGAGCCCAGCAGCACTGGTGGGGCCGTGTGTTGGTGGCCCCCAGGCCTCACTAAGAGTAGCAAAGGGGAGAGGAAGCTCTGACACTCACCATTTCTACAACCCAAATCGGCGGCCTCCCTCTCTCCTCTTGTGTATAGGCACCGAGCTGTGGCTACAGCAGAGAATGAATAAACTTCTAACACAATCTATGGAGTGTTATCTGGGGCTGTGAAATGCTGGGACTTGAAGGTGGGAATGAGGTCTCTAAAGCAGGGCCCTGAGTCAGGCCCAGGCCAGTTTGTTTCCCTCCATCCAGGATCTGGGACATACTTGCAGAAAGCTGCTTTCCAGTCACCCCCGTCAAGTGGAGGGGCAGGCAGGGCAGCAGGCTGGCGTGGGTAAGGTAATGAGCAGCCTCCTGCCAGCCTGCCGAGGGGCTGTGGACACACCAGCCAGGCCCTAGGCCACTGCAGAGAAGGGGAGAACCAGGTTGCTAGATCTTGCCCCCAAAGCAATCTGTTCAACCAAGGTGGGGACAGGTGTGGCCAGGAGCCCCAAAGCCCCAACCTTTGTATCCAGGCCAAAAGCCACCAGGGCCATGGTTGTGGGTCGGAGGTTACACACAAGCTGGAAGGTCTACGCTTCACCTCAGGCAGGGCACCCAGACTCTGGGCAGGCAGCACTCTTTGTCAGCAGGGTAGCCAAGGTTACTTTTCTTTTTTTTTTTTTTTGAGACGGAGTCTTCGCTGTTGCCCCAGGCTGGAGTGCAGTGGCGCGATCTCGGCTCACTGCAAGCTCCGCTCCCCGGGTTCACGCCATTCTCCTGCCTCGCCTCTCCCGAGATGCTGGGACTCACAGGCGCCCCACCTCGCCCGGCTAATTTTCTTGTCTATTTAGTAAAGAGCGGGGCGTGTCACCCTGTTACCAGGACGTTCCGATCTCCTGACCTCGTGATCCGCCCGTCTCGGCCTCCCAAAGTGCTGGGATTACAGGCTTGAGCCACCGCGCCCGGCCACTTTTCTTTTTTGAGATGGAGTCTCGCTCCGTTGCCCAGGCTGGAGTGCAGTGGCGCGATCTCGGCTCACTGCAAGCTCCGCCTCCCAGGTTAAAGCAATTCTCCTGCCTCAGCCTCCTGAGTAGCTGGGATTACAGATGTGCACCAACATGCCCAGCTGATTTTTGTGTTTTTGTAGAGATGGGGTTTCACTATGTTGGTCAGGCTGGTCTTGAACTCCTGACCTCAGGTGATCTGCCCCCCTCGGCCTCCCAAAGTGCTGGGATTACAGGCGTGAGCCACTGCACCCAGCCTGCCAGGGTTACTTCTAAGAGGAGACATTGCCTCTTGACAGTTGGTCCCTGTCTGGGGCAGCCAGGGACATACCCGGAAAATTGAAGTGCTGGGAAGGAAGTGGCTGCCCTAGTCACCTGCCCCTTCTCTGCAGCACTGGGTTGTCTAAGCTCCAAATGCTTCACACACCACAACCAAGCAACCTGAGGGTCAGGAAGATCCCTTTGGTGAGAAGGAGAGTCCCAACAGGAGACCAGATACGGAGAGAAAGCAAGGTCTAAGAATACAGTGTGGGTGGGGCCTCTTTGGCCCTCAGAGAGGAAAAGGGGTCAAGGTGAAATCATAGCCCCTTTTGCCTGGGTTGGTGGACCTGCCAAGCTCACTCTAGGACCCAAGACCTGAATTTGGGAGGAAAGAGCCGGAGAGGAGCCCAGGTAGGAAGAAGAGCTCGAGACCTGAGTGTCCAGCTGGGCGAGGCCTGACGACTCACCTTTGACAGTCCTGAGTAGCTGCGGCCCACGGCACCCTGGGGCTGTCCCTCCAACCAGGAAATCTTCAGAGGGTTATCCACCAGGCCAACTTCATTCTGGACAGCCAGCTCCTGCCAAACACAGCATCTAGTCCTGTCCCATCCATCGAGTCAGCTATAAAGAGGCTGTCTCTACCCCCAGTGAGAACAGAACCAGCGTTCTAGCCCTCTAAGCAGAGATGCCAACCTCAGCAGTCTTCAAGTGACGGGCGTTAACACTTTGGCCTTTCCTGCGGGAGAGGGGGTTGCGGGGAGCTTTCTGATGTGGGGAGGTGAGGAGCACAAAGGGTGAAAAGGCAGTGCCGGGGCTCACAGCCCCGAGGGGTGCAGGTGGAGGGTGTGAAGCCACCAGCAGGGAGCAGAGTCAAGTCTGTGCTCTCCTTTCTCCCCAGAGCACCCCCCATCCATCCCTTTACACACGGTGCCTCTATTTCCAGGAGTCAGGGGCCCCTGGGAGGAGCCTTGGCTCTAAGCTGGCCCGGAGATTCCCCAGGAGTGTGGACCACCTAACTCAGAGGGCCCACAGAATTGGGTCCCTGCCCCAGAATGACAGGGCCACGAGGGCCCCCCAAGCCTCATGCAGCACTCACCGCCGCCTTGACAGTTGCAAACTCCACCACAGCAGTGCCTGGCTTCTTACTGGAAAGCACCAGGTTGAGAACCTCGCCATACTGTGGGGACAAAGGGGTCCTAATGAGCATGACTTGGCCTTCAGGATGGCCCAGGTCATGCCAGAGACAAGCCTGGGCTACCTTGAAGTCCATGGGGCTTTTTCAGTTGGGAGATAACTTCTTGCCCCACCTACTTATCTTAGTGAAGTGAGATCAGAGATAGGAAAGAAATTTTTTTCTAGGAACACAGGGCAGCAAAGGAATGATGAGCAAAGCCCTGGTGACTTAGACTGACATATTTCATGCACAGCGTCCTTGCTGGTTGAACGTGGTGAAAAGTTTTTGTGCCCGATACCCACCTCATCCCTCCCAACCCACTCAGCCAAGCTCTTTGCTTCTAAGGGTAAGGGTTAGACTGAGGTAGCAAAGGACGGAGGGCTGGAAGGGAGCACATGGCCACACAAGTGAAAGGAGGGCTGTAGCCTGGGGAGAAGTCTTTAGGTCATCCCATGGTCTACAAGACAGGAAAAAAAAAAAAAAGCAGGTAGATATGTTAAGGGAAGTTCAGGCATTGAGAGCAGAGGCCTAGGGTGTGGGCTGAGATGTGGACTGAGACGATAGGAAAGACTGGACGTCAACAGGGCAGACCTTTTGCAAAAGCCGTAGGAGGACGTCTTTGGAGTAGCCACTTTTTGACTCATCCTCCTTCTTGCACTTCCATTTTAGCTGAAAAGACAGACTCATGAAACACCGATTCTTGGCTGAACAGTACCTCACCCCACGACAGCTTGACAGCTGAGCAGACATCCTCCCACTCTCCAAGTCTCCAAGGCTCCTGCAGTCTAGGGAGTGCCAGCAGAAACATTTTCCCGGTGGGAACTTGTAGGCAGGATGGCCTGCTCACCCCAGGGACGCTTCCCGCCCAGGAAGACCCTCTCCTGGGAGGGCTTCTAGGGAATGCTCTGCCCTGTGATCAGGGCTAAAAGCAGCCTTTGGTGGCAAGCTCTGGTCTCCAGGCGGCTGGAACATGGAGGGAGGTGGTAATGGTGCTGGCTCCACGCAGATCCAGTGGCCCCACCAGAAACCCTCGAGCCACAGGAAGCATCTATTCCTGCTGAGAGGAGGTGGTGAGTGTGAGGCGGCCCACAGACCCTGCCCAGGCTCACCTTTAGTTTGGGGGTTCCTTGGCCTTCAGTATTTTCTGCCTTTCCTAGAAATATTGGGAAAAGAAGAAAAGTAGAATATGTCAGAGTCTCCCAAAGGAGATGCAGCCCAGAGCCAGAAGGGTCTGGAAAGGGTCACTCCTGACCAAGGGGTGCCCAATACCTGCCCAGCTCTGGTAAGGAAAGTAGATGCCCATCCCCAGAAAAGCTGCCACCCCAGGGTGGTCTACCCAGCTGCCTCCTGAAGGCCACCTGTCAGCACTCTCTGAATGGAGAGCTAGGAACACCTTCTAGGGGCAGGAGGCAGAGACAGACCATGAGGTTCTACGGAAACAAAGTGTCCCAGAGTCCCTCCCTGTGGTGATCTGCCCCAAAACAGGGCCAGCTCTGCTTGGGACTAAGACAAATGTGGCCAGGAGATCTCAGGCAGAGTAAAAAGCAAATAGGCCCCAGAGAACTGAGAGGAAGAGGGGATCTGCATGTGTCAGAGTAAGGTACCATGGGGTGACCCCAGGGTCCTAGCAGGTACAAGCCTCCACAGCAGCTCCACCGAGCAGCCAGCATGGCCACTCTGAGCAGTCTGGAGCTGCCTTGGAGGGGAGATAGGCGGGGTGATGGATCTGCACCTCTCAACCTGTGGTCATGCTCCTGGCGTATCTGCTCCCGGATCAGCCTCTGCTGCTCCTCCAGCTGCCGGGAACCCTCTTCTCTCAGGCGTTCGATCTGCAGAGCAGGGGGTGGGGGTGATAATTCTGTGCAGGTCCAATTCCAGGCTGGCTCACCTTGTAAAAAGTCCCTGGGAGCTTCCACCTGCAAGCTAGGGCTCAGCAACCTGTGGGTGGGACAGAGCACCCAGCTCCCACTGAAGGTGCAAAGAGCATGCCCTCTCCAGCCATGGCGACCACCAAGTTCATCCTCCCCGCCTCCTCCTGCAGGTGGCCCTCTGGCCAGTGTGCCTGAGTGCTCACCTCTTGCTCTAGTGTCCTGGTGCTCCGGCTCTCCTCTTCCTCCTCACTCTCCTGGGCCTGGGCCTGCCGCTCCCGGGCCTCCAGGTCTAGGCACAAGGGTTGAATGACCAAACTGCTGGTCTGTTCAGTTTCCACGTGGCCTCGGCCCACCTCAGCTCTGGCTGCCTCCCCAAAGTCTCAATCACGATGAGACCATACAGTAACTCTGCCCCCTCCCTCCATGCCCAAGCCCCCGAGTCAATTTCCATTGAGAAAAATCACGGCACAGAAGTATGGGGTGTAGCAGAGTGGCCAGGGGTCTGGAAGAGTTAAAAACAGCTCACACTGACCAAGCTGGTTCTCTCTAGTGAACAGGGTGTAGGTGGTGCTTATGTCAGCAGCCCAGGGCCATGTGTCAGCCCAGGGCCATGTGTCAGGGGTGCCAATGGGCGGAGCTGTTGGGTTTGATTCCTGTGGTTCGGCACTACAGCTTGACCTCTGGCCTTACTTTGGCTTTGATTCTTTTCACACACTGAGCTCAAGTTCTCACTGTCCCCTTTAGCTCCCACCTCAGCTCACATTTACCAAGCCTCACTGCACTGTGGCCTGGCTACAGGATGGGCACGAGCATTGGCGCATCCACCCTTACCTTCAAGGAAACTGCTTG